GGGGGGCCCAACCGGGGCCGGTGAGGTAGCCACAGGTGGCTGTGAGGTGGCCACTGGTGGCCGTGAGGTCAATAGAGCGCTCTTTTATTGGGTGGGTTTTGTTTTGTACACAAAATTGAGGGGTTTCTCGCTCCCGCCGTCCTCATCTGGTCCCGATGGTGACCTGCCACACCCGGACGAGGTTGTCTGTGTAACCGGCGAACAGCGTCTGCGGAGAGAAAGCGTGGTGGGTGGGGAGGGCTGGAGGGCAACGAGGGGGGAGCTCGGGGCACACGGAGAAGGACCAACGGTCAATGAGGTGGGACCGCAGGTCAACAAGGTAGGACCTCAGGGCATGAGGAGAAGGGATGGTCAATGAGGTGGGACCCTGGGGCATGAGGAGAAGGGATGGTCAATGAGGTGGGATCTCGGGTCAACGAGAAGGGAGGGACAGTCAATGAGGTGGGACCTTGGGGCATGAGGAGAAGGGACCAATGGTCAATGAGGAGGGACCTCGGGTCAACAAGATGGGACCTTGGGGCATGAGAAGAAGGACCTCGGGTCAACGAGGAGAAGGGACGGTCAACAAGGTGGGAGCTCAGGGCATGAAAAAGGAGGGATGGTCAACAAGGTGGGACCTCAGGTCGATGTGGGACCTCGGGGCACGAGAAGGGACGGACAGACGGTCAACAAGGTGGGACCCCGGAGCATGAGGAGAAGGGACTGATGGTCAACGAGGTGGAACCTTGGGTCACCAAGAAGGGAGGGACAGTCAACGAGGTGGGGCAGATGGTCAATGAGGTGGGACCTCGGGGCACAGAGGAGAAGGGACAGATGGTCAACGAGGTGGGACCTCGGGGCGCAAGAAGGGAGGGACGGTCAAGGAGGTGAGACCTTGGGGCAACAAGGTGGGAGCTTGGGGCACAAGGAGAAGGGACTCTGGTCCTCAGAGGGCAAATCCAGAACGGGGAGGGGGACCTCCCCTCAGCCCCCGGATGTTGGGGAGATAAAGGAGAAGAGCTCCACGGTGGGGAAGGGGGCCCCAACGGTTGGCCGGGAAGGGGGCCCAAGGAAGGTCTTGCCCTCGCTGGTAGAGACGGCTCCAGGAGCACAAGCACCTTCCCGGCCCCCGTGCTCCCAGGAGCAGCGGGAGGGTCCCCAAAGTCCTCGTTCCCCGGGGGCGGGGGGAAGGGGGCGGCCTTTACCTGCCCATCTGCGGACCAGGCCAGGGAAGTGCACTGGGGCGGTTCGGCTTTGCTGCTGGTGCTGATCACCTCCTGCTTCAGCTCGTCCACGATGATTTTACCTTCCAGGTCCTGCGGGAGGAAGGAGGACCGTGAGGGAAGGAAGGAAGGTCCTTGCAGGGAGAAGCCTGCGGCCAAATCCAAGCCGGCTCCGGAACGCCGGGAGGATCGCTCAGAAACAGCCTCTGGGTTTCCCCACGGAGATGGGAGTCAGATGGCATCCAAGTGTTTCATC